GTGCTGTTGGTATGTGCTACGCTTGTCACATGGCTGCGTCTAACACCTCCATTCAAATATGAGTGCAGACTAAATCCAACCACATCCATTATCCAGGTGCGGCCTCGATGCATTGCAACTTTCGATAGAAATAAATGCAACTTACAACACCTGCCACACACTCACACACACTAATTTCAGTAAGTTCGATAGTTGGCACTGCTTCATCGTATAGTCCCTTCCTCACTCATTCAGCCCTCCTCGGTTGCGTAACCGATGTGGATGCTATGCAGGGAACATCTTGGATTGACATGGAGTGGAAGAATCCTAGGGAGCACCTCGCCTCCTCCTCCAAATTCCTCATCCTGGTCACCTCTCGCTACGATGAAGAGGTTGGTCAGGTATTCGTGGAGGTAGGTGACGTAGGTTGAGTTTCACTCGATACCGCTTTAGAGGAACTACCAAGCGGTACTACCGCCGTTCCTGCGTTCCGCAGTGCAAAGTCTTCAACACCAACAAGTCACCTACATCACTGATGACGTGCGGAGGGTCAACATCACCAACTTAGCCCAGAACACGGAGTACAACATCTCCATTATTCCCTACCTGTCGAACGGGCTCATTGGAGCAGTTCTAGAAAGGACAGTCAAAACGAAAATAGCGGGTAAGTGACACTCTTGAACGACGCATCGAACCCGAGTCAGTGCTTTCAAGATGTTCACCTTCTTTAAAGTGGTAGCGCAGATCTTCGTCATTATGGACGCCACCGGTGCACTACTGTCAACCCAACTAGTCCTGCAGTGTAACCATTAAGTGAAGCCAGTTGACATTTGTTTACCTGCTTAAGGCCTTCCTTCTCCATTGTCATCCAGCCCCCTGTCAGATGGCGAATGTCAGACTAAGACGATCGGGCAGTAATGTGACTCTGGTATGGCACCTGGATTTCAAAAGGACTTGCAGTGCACCAGAGAACCTTGTGGTAGGAATAAGTGAGACAAGGCGAGACGTCAAACTGGCATATCCGTTCAACGAAGCCTATTTGACGCACAACTTTGAGTTCTGCAGGACCTACCTGTTCAGCCTGCGTTTTGAGAGCCTTGGAGGCACGTTTACCTACCCACACGTTCTGTCCTCCGCAATCGGATATCCAAGTAAGGATCTGCCCAAAGGCGTGCTAAGTTTGCGAGACTGTTTCGATAATCTCAGTGTTCCCACCAAGACGCATTCGTCTTAGGATTAAAGCCCAACTGCCAATTCTACTAGCTTTGAGTGAGTAGTGACCTCTGCCACCTTCATGTAGGAGGAAGTTGATCACTTGACAAGACATGCTAGTGGAGGTTTCAAGTAGACAGTCACTCATCAAGATGCAGCAGAGCAGCTCCGCAGGCAACCATTGAACAGTGGGGGTGGTTGTTTGTTGCTTTAGACATCAGCAATAAGGCGCCATCCACTCACCCTCTTGACGCCGAGCCGTACTTCGGAGTATCTTTTGCATCCGA